ATGTTTAGTAAAGGCTGCATCTAAATAAACAAGATATTGGAATATATTATTCCTGATAAAAAAAATTAGTTTCAGATACAATTTTTGCCGATCCTTGCATTAAAATCCTGTAAAGTTATATCATTGGGTGTGTCTTGACCGAATCACCAGGATTCAAAACGTGTGTACAGCTGATTGCTGTTTCCGGCTAAGTTTACGAAAACATACACAAGGTAATCTTAATCCCTGGATGTAAAACAATGCCTGGCAAAACAAAAAATACAATTTAAACTGTAAATAAACATGTCTGGTGATTTTTCATCTCAAATTTCGAATTTGTACTGACCAATTTTCTCATCACCCGTTCGTTTACCGGAATTCGCTGAAGGGGTAGATCTACGGTGTAATTTTTTTCTGCACTTGACATTCGATTTTTTTTCCAAAATACTGAATCCCCTAGAGGGGGGGGGGGGGTGTGTACTAAACTCAAGAAAATATGGGTAATTGATATAGGAAATGCCCACAAACATTATGTGAACTCTCAACATCTACTGAATGTCGTTTTGAATGGTAGACCATTCATTGTGTGCTATGATGAATAGATAAACCACTAAACTCGTTAAGTTCACGTAATAATTTTCAAACAATCCTGATAGTGCAACACGTCAATTTTAAATGACACACATTCAAGTACACACACGTCTTCCCATGTATCCACATTCACCTGCTAACCGCACAGGCCGCGGACACCTAAACGAGCCTCCTGGTGGTAATGAAGGCCGGGAATCAACCAAGCGCTAGCCGTGAAGTGACACCAATACACAGGATATTCAAAGTCCTTTTACACGCGCTTCAGTGACTTTGCCCACGCACGCAATAAACCGGGTCCTGCAGTAGGAATTGAAAATCCACATCCCAAAGAGGCCACCCTGACTGTGTTCATATTGAAATTCAGGTCTTATTAGATTAGACATTGGAAGCTGTTTATAACACAAGCACAGTGTGTTCAGGCATGGCATGACAACCTCAAAATAACTGCTCTTCTGTAGTTGGTTACTGACGTAATAAGTGCCCCGGGTGCTTAGAAAATTGACAAAGGGGCACTAAGTAAAACCATACACGTTACATTTGTTTTCATAGATTTAGCAAACTTATGGAACAAATTTAATTCAAATGCTGAGTAAGTTAAAACTTTTCTGACAATAAATACCTTCTAATCTGTAATTTACCCCAAAAGTGTGGATTATCATGTAAGTTTCCAGTCTTGGTGGGATATAAAGATTATATACAGATTGGTCTGTAAGTTGGTCAGGGGTTGCTGATTGTTATTATGTTCAAAACCTTTATCAAGAAAAGCAGTGGGAGATCAGTAGGTGTGACCTGCTCATTCGGATATTTCTGCAATATGACTTGATTTTGGGTGGTTTTAAATTTTACGGATATTGAAAGTACTGCTTGCTCTTTTGTCCAACACTCACCTCACTTTGAATGTAAGGGTTTTGTGTTCACAAGGAAATGATTCAATTTATATAAAAAATATAGCAACTCTATTCCCCGAGATTATTGAAAGAGGGTACATGAACTATATTGTGTGTCATGCATGTAGTATATTGCTGCACAAACTCCTGGCTCATGGGCTTTCCAGGGGAAGTAGTCTCCAGTTTGTGCTGCTTGTTACAACAGCTGACTTGGGAGGAGCGGATGGCCAGACTCTGGCTCATGGGCTTTCCAGGGGAAGTAGTCTCCAGTTTGTGCTGCTTGCTACAACAGCTGCCTTGGGAGGAGCGGATGGCCAGACTCTGGCTCATGGGCTTTCCAGGGGAAGTAGTCTCCAGTTTGTGCTGCTTGTTACAACAGCTGCCTTGGGAGGAGCGGATGGCCAGGCTCTGGCTCATGGGCTTTCCAGGGGAAGTAGTCTCCAGTTTCTGCTGCTTGTTACAACAGCTGACTTGGGAGGAGCGGATGGCCAGACTCTGGCTCATGGGCTTTCCAGGGGAAGTAGTCTCCAGTTTCTGCTGCTTGTTACAACAGCTGACTTGGGAGGAGCGGATGGCCAGACTCTGGCTCATGGGCTTTCCAGGGGAAGTAGTCTCCAGTTTCTGCTGCTTGCTACAACAGCTGCCTTGGGAGGAGCGGATGGCCAGACTCTGGCTCATGGGCTTTCCAGGGGAAGTAGTCTCCAGTTTGTGCTGCTTGTTACAACAGCTGACTTGGGAGGAGCGGATGGCCAGACTCTGGCTCATGGGCTTTCCAGGGGAAGTAGTCTCCAGTTTGTGCTGCTTGCTACAACAGCTGCCTTGGGAGGAGCGGATGGCCAGACTCTGGCTCATGGGCTTTCCAGGGGAAGTAGTCTCCAGTTTGTGCTGCTTGTTACAACAGCTGACTTGGGAGGAGCGGATGGCCAGACTCTGGCTCATGGGCTTTCCAGGGGAAGTAGTCTCCAGTTTCTGCTGCTTGCTTCAACAGCTGCCTTGGGAGGAGCGGATGGCCAGACTCTGGCTCATGGGCTTTCCAGGGGAAGTAGTCTCCAGTTTGTGCTGCTTGTTACAACAGCTGACTTGGGAGGAGCGGATGGCCAGACTCTGGCTCATGGGCTTTCCAGGGGAAGTAGTCTCCAGTTTGTGCTGCTTGTTACAACAGCTGACTTGGGAGGAGCGGATGGCCAGACTCTGGCTCATGGGCTTTCCAGGGGAAGTAGTCTCCAGTTTGTGCTGCTTGTTACAACAGCTGCCTTGGGAGGAGCGGATGGCCAGACTCTGGCTCATGGGCTTTCCAGGGGAAGTAGTCTCCAGTTTCTGCTGCTTGCTACAACAGCTGCCTTGGGAGGAGCGGATGGCCAGACTCTGGCTCATGGGCTTTCCAGGGGAAGTAGTCTCCAGTTTCTGCTGCTTGCTACAACAGCTGCCTTGGGAGGAGCGGATGGCCAGACTCTGGCTCATGGGCTTTCCAGGGGAAGTAGTCTCCAGTTTGCGCTGCTTGCTACAACAGCTGCCTTGGGAGGAGCGGATGGCCAGACTCTGGCTCATGGGCTTTCCAGGGGAAGTAGTCTCCAGTTTGTGCTGCTTGTTACAACAGCTGACTTGGGAGGAGCGGATAGCCAGACTCTCTTACAGGTCATCATGTTCATATTCATTGTTGCTCATGCTTTCAGTCACTGGTTTGGCTGATCCATACTTAATCGGTTACCGGCTGCTGTGATATCGTAGGAATATTTACTTCATCATGAAGACATTCACTGGCTCTTAATCATGTTCATAGATGAATCGTTTCTTATTGCTTGGATAACAGATCTTACTTTCAGCTGACGGTATCATCAGTCTCTTTAAGATCATATCTTAGTTCTCACTACTGCTAAACTAGGATCTGAGGACATCCCATTGTGGGTCATGTCAGAGTGACCTTTCATCTGACCAGAGCATCACTTACCAAATCGGGAAAGTAACTGTCGGAATAAGTTTTCTATTCATGCAACCTCCAAATTGTTTACTCGGGTATTAATGAGTTACTGGCTGTATGACTGATTCCATTTAAAAAAAACGAAAACATTGTTTATCTCATGCATCAATGGGATAAACATTTGATATGAAAAAGACTTCTCATAGCCCATGGGAACTACGAGAGATGTGTAAGTCATGACTGAATTTTCATTTGTTCAGTTTGGAATGGAAGTTGCCAGTTTGAAATTTATGCTCTAAAGCTTTAGAAAGCTGCCATCTGATTGGCTATGGTTGATTTCTTGTTAGTCACTTCATTGGTTGGTCCAAGTTCATGAATGACCTATGATGAGGTGTCCTCAGATCTTTGTTTTGCGGTAGCAAGCTCAAAGAACTGATTCTAATGAGATTAAAGGAATCAGCAGTTGTATTTTAACCTATGGCCGGGTACCACTATATGGTTCATTTGGAAGTCTGTAGGACAGTGTACAGGATGGTCAGGAAAATAGAAATACAGTCAGTGTTTGTTTATGTTGTTTCATCATGTTTAAATCCAGTAAATAAGGGAAAACAGGTTATTCACCTGCCAAGTTGCCAACGGCAATCTCATCTGAGCCAAGAAATCCAAGTAGCTTCATATTTTTCAAGAATTATCAGTGTTGTCAAAAGTATATTTTAGAAGAGGAGGTTTTTGATATGCAATATATATGATTATATGACCTGAGGTGAAATAGAGCCCAGCCAATCATTGCCAATAGCAGTATGCTACCTAATGTTAAGTGTATCTTAAGGGCTAGTAGACATTCTGGCATTTTCCCCTGTGTTCCTGTGTGTATTTTTATTCCTGCTAGTACATGCTTCAGGTTCTGCCCCTGCAGTGTAAACAACATAAGTTAATGGGAAAATAATCTGTTTGTTGCTGAGTTATTTTAGGCTTACTTTTTTTTAGAAATTGTTGTTGAATAATGATAAGAGTGTCCAGTTAGTTTTTCCAAGACTTCAGCCTTTTAGGGTTGGCAAATCTCATTATGATAATGCTTTGAATCTCAGTAATCTGTTAAATACAGATGAACACAAAATATATTTTTATTTTCGTTTAAACACACAGGTATTTCCTGTTTTGCAAGGATGGAAATGTAGTCTGAATAGTGATAACATATAGCAATACCCCCCAAATGTCTTTAATTCTGCTAGCCCAGAAGACACCTTTAACCACCTTGTCCAGGTATGTTGTAATTTCCATACGTGGTATCAAATGAGGAAATACCAGTGTACAATTTATCAAAGGACCCAGGTAGAGACAATATGTTTTAGATCCATTGTCGGTATTAATGTCATGAATACAAGATGTGCATCTTCCAGGTTTCAGGGATCTGTCAGACAAGTGACACAATTCGCTGCAGAGTTTTGTCCCTAGTTCCAATGATTGGGTTCAAATCCCAGATTTGCCCTGATTATGTTCTTGGTTTGTCAGTCTCATACCTATGTTTGTGGATTTCCCAATAGTGGTAAATGTATATGACCAATTTGACGTTGGGCTGACATCCCATGGTGATGCTTGTCTCATGCATGTTCCTCTTGTTCCAGGGAGGGCACGGCTTCCTAAGATCACCCTGCCTGAAAACCCACCTGCCAGTCCACAGTAAGTCATTCATTTTCTATTTTGTTCATGACATGTCTATATGTGGACCACAACGTGAATGTGCATCAGGCAATGATTAAAAATATACAATGTAACCCTGTTTACCCAGACAGTACCAGTGAAATTGTCTGGATAATCAAGTTTCCAAATTAACAGATTATGGTGCAGAGTATGATGTCCTGTTGTTCTGTAATATGTCCCCTTAAAGATCTTCTAGAAGAAGGTTTTTTGGGTTTTTTTAATAATGAGGTTTCATTGTATTGGTTTAGTAAATTACCTGTACCCTGTCATCAAGCTACTATTGGTGTATAAATTGAAAACATTATGAATACTTTTCAATTTATTTCCTTCAAGATCTTGTCAGTCAAATATAATTATTCACGAGCAGTGTTAAATTGTTTGTGTTAGTATTTGTGCTAGAGCTAAATGTTGCTCGTTATCCTTGGTTAGAACATGTCAAATATATCCTCAGTATTGTCCTTATTTACAAAGACTTGTATCAAACATTGAACAAATACTGCAGGGTACTTTATTACAGACCTGTAGAGAAAATATGTCAAGCTCTAAAGGTTTATATCTAAATAGTAACACTATGTTATGTCATTATTTTTTAGTATAATTTACTATTTCTTCAACATATACTTCCCAATTTACAATTCCACACAAGTAACCATAATTTACCTATGGAGACCAGCCAATGGCTATTTCATATATAAAGAGAGAAGATAGTTAGGGATAGGTTTCACTGTTTCTTTTATAGATGAAGCTTTTCTCCAACAAAGGGGGTTTGTATGTACTACAAAAATATCACCACTGGCCTAATATATTCACAATAAAAATGGTTTGATGCACAAAAATCTGTGTGGTCTGAAAAAAACTTGCTACATAGAGAATCTCACCCGAGTGTCTTTTGATATCAAATATATCAACACGAGTTGATAAAAGTGGAAAAACACCGAGGCTTGCCAAGGAAATTTTCCACTTTTATCAACGAGTGTTGATATATTTGGTATCAAAAGACAGAGGGTGAGATTCTATTTATCATCCATCATCATTCTTCCAACTTTTTCAGTTTGTAGACAGTAATAAGCAGTGTCTAAAGTGTAAAAAGTAATGCTTACAGCTTCAGTAGCAGAGCCATTAGTGATGTCATTTGATTGTGATGTCATGGTAACAATGACATCACAATGGTCTGCAAAGCATTGTGATGCAATTTTATTGCAGCGATATCTACAGTGTAGATATCGCTTGATCTCACCCAAGGATATCTCCTGTGGGAGCCAGTTTTGGATGAGAAATTACAATAAAAAACCTAGGTACTGAAGCTTCTGTAACTTGCATGTTGACTGTATATGGTCACTGTATGTTTCCTCATATACCATGGTTGGTGATGGGTTTATTTTAGCAATAACTGGAGGTGAATGTGACACTTCCAGTGAAAATCAGAAAATGGTCATGATATGACTGAAACTAACTTCATGACACAGATGAATTATCAACTTTAAGATAAGTCCTTGTAACAATGTAGCAGGTTTATGTTTGTAAATAGTGATTTATTTTAGTCCTATGTGTGGGCATACTTGCTACTGGTCAATTTTGATTCCCTTACATTTGAGAAATGATGAGCGTGTGATGTGGAAGAGGATGGTGTCAAAGACAGATAGTGTGATACTAGAGCAAGAACCTATGCCAATGTTCATTCTATTTGCGGGGCGGTCGGGTAGCCTAGTGGTTAAAGCGTTCGCTCGTCACGCCGAAGACCCGGGTTCGATTCCCGACATGGGTACAATGTGTGAAGCCCATTTCTGGTGTCCCCCGCCGTGATATTGCTGGAATATTGCTAAAAGCGGCGTAAAACCATACTCACTCACTCACTCACTCATTCTATTTGCCAATAAGTTGGTGACAAAACAGTGGGGTCAGTTTAAGGATTGGGGATCATTGTCTTTGGGAGCTGAGTCACTTTTCTTTGAATATATGGTCAGTTTCAGAATGCTGTTAGACTCACCAATCTTCAGAATCATGATGTCTGCAACTTAGAGAAAATGTGGTACTCTACCAACTTGCACTTGATTAACCACTGTCTTTTTTTTTTTGAAATTGTGAAATTGTATCAGTTACAAGATTGTTTTTTAAAACCTTGACCAAATGGTAGCTTTGTAGCTTATTGTGGTTATGGTGGACAATATGTAGGGTTGAATGAAATGGTACTGAGAATAAAAATGTATCCATGGTGTGGGGGTATGATGGTTTATTGCCAGGAACATGAAGTATTTAGTTATCGCTTGTTGTTGCTATGAGATACTGAGAGGTAATATTGTTGTTGTTTTCTCTTCAGGCCTCCTCGCCCTGATTTGGATTCCACAGCAACTTTGACGATTGGGGATAAGACAGTTGAGTGCGATGCCACAGATCTCGAGCCAATCAAACTGTTGGGCCGCGGCGCATATGGCGTCGTGGAGGAGATGCGTCATAGACCTAGCAATACCATCCTAGCCGTTAAGGTAAGGCAGCTTTACACATGTAGCAGGTTTTTACATAATGCAGTAATTTTTGTCCGAATTGAATCCTAGATTTACCCTTATTTCACTGTTTGGTCAGCATCATACCCAGTGGTAAAAGTTAATGACTTTCCAGGTTAGAATTGTTCTCCGGTTACCAATGCTAAAGAGGTGATAAAAATGTGACTTGGCTTATTGCGTGTCTTCATATCGAATCCTGGTTCGCCCTGATTATGTTTCTAGGTTTATCTGCACCATACCCATGCTCGTGGGTTTCACCAAAGTGGTAAACATCTGAGACATGCACCATTTCGGGAGTTCCTCTCACATTAAGCTGACATACTGTGATATAACTGGAAAACTGTTAAAAGCGGCGTTAAACCCAACTCACTCATTCACTCACTGACTCAGCTGGGATGCTGTGGTATAGCTGGAATATTGACTGTGGTGAAAAACAGCAAACAAACGAAAAATATAGATTTCTACCCACATAAGCTGACACGCTGTGTAATAACAGAAATTCTGTTCAAAGCTGTGTAAAAACTAACCCACTCATTCCATTACTAGAAACTCAATGTGCATATTATTGCTGATAAGGCATTAAATATATTGGTTATAAAACTGCATGACAACTTTCATGCAAAATCGCAAACAGAAATATGTTAGTCTTTCTGTCTTGTATATCTACAAATACCATTTTGTGAACTACAGGCAGTGATGTTTTATTTCAGCGTATCATGGCAACTGTAAATAACCAAGAAACAAAGAGGCTGTTGATGGATTTGGATGTGAACATGCGCAGTGGCTCCTGTCCGTACACTGTGCACTTTTATGGAGCGCTGTTCAGAGATGTACGTACTCTTGTTGTCAGAGTGATTTTCAAGTAGTGACGTTCACCATGGAAATCCAGGGTCTTTGTCATAGCCTGATGTTGAATGTTAAAATGTTGTTGAAAATTGAGGGGATTGTATGATTGGTGTACATTGTTTCAGGGGGTTGTAGCATCTGTGTACATTGTTTCAGGGGGTTGTAGCAACTGTGTACATTGTTTCAGGGGATTGTAGTATCTGTGTTACATTGTTTCAGGTGGTTATAGCATCTGTGTTCATTGTTTCAGGGGGTTGTATTATCTGTCTTACATTGTTTCAGGGGGTTGTAGCATCTGTGTACATTGTTTCAGGGGATCGTAGTATCTGTGTTACATTGTTTCAGGGGGTTGTATTATCTGTCTTACACTGTTTCAGGGGGTTGTAGCATCTGTGTACATTGTTTCAGGGGATTGTAGTATCTGTGTTACATTGTTTCAGGGGGTTGTAGCATCTGTGTACATTGTTTCAGGGGATTGTAGTATCTGTGTTACATTGTTTCAGGGGATTGTAGTATCTGTGTTACATTGTTTCAGGGGGTTGTAGTACATGTATCTGTCTTACATTGTTTCAGAGGATTGTAGTATCTGTGTTACATTGTTTCAGGAGATCATAGTATCTGTGTTACATTCTTTCAGAGGATTGTAGCATCTGTACATTGTTTCAGGTGGTTGTAGTATCTGTGTACATTGTTTCAGGGGGTTGTAGTATCTGTGTACATTGTTTCGGGGGGTTGTAGTATCTGTGTACATTGTTTCGGGGGGTTGTAGTATCTGTGTACATTGTTTCAGGGGGTTGTAGTATCTGTGTACATTGATTCGGGGGGTTGTAGTATCTGTGTACATTGTTTCAGGGGGTTGTAGTATCTGTGTACATTGTTTCAGGGGGTTGTAGTACATGTATCTGTCTTACATTGTTTCAGAGGATTGTAGTATCTGTGTTACATTGTTTCAGGAGATCATAGTATCTGTGTTACATTGTTTCAGAGGATTGTAGCATCTGTACATTGTTTCAGGTGGTTGTAGTATCTGTGTACATTGTTTCAGGGGGTTGTAGTATCTGTGTACATTGTTTCAGGGGGTTGTAGTATCTGTGTACATTGTTTCGGGGGGTTGTAGTATCTGTGTACATTGTTTCAGGGGGTTGTAATATCTGTGTACAATGTTTCAGTAGATTGTAGTATCTGTGTACATTGTTTCAGGGGGTTGTAGTATCTGTGTACATTGTTTCAGGAGATTGTAGTATCTGTGTACAATGTTTCAGTAGATTGTAGTATCTGTGTACATTGTTTCAGGAGATTGTAGTATCTGTGTACATTGTTTCAGGAGATTGTAGTATCTGTGTACATTGTTTCAGGAGATTGTAGTATCTGTGTACAATGTTTCAGTAGATTGTAGCATCTGTACATTGTTTCAGGTGGTTGTAGTATCTGTGTACATTGTTTCAGGGGGTTGTAGTATCTGTGTACATTGTTTCGGGGGGTTGTAGTATCTGTGTACATTGTTTCGGGGGGTTGTAGTATCTGTGTACATTGTTTCAGGGGGTTGTAGTATCTGTGTACATTGTTTCAGGAGATTGTAGTATCTGTGTACATTGTTTCGGGGGGTTGTAGTATCTGTGTACATTGTTTCAGGAGATTGTAGTATCTGTACATTGTTTCGGGGGGTTGTAGTATCTGTGTACATTGTTTCGGGGGGTTGTAGTATCTGTGTACATTGTTTCGGGGGGTTGTAGTATCTGTGTACATTGTTTCAGGAGATTGTAGTATCTGTACATTGTTTCAGGAGATTGTAGTATCTGTGTACATTGTTTCGGGGGGTTGTAGTATCTGTGTACATTGTTTCGGGGGGTTGTAGTATCTGTGTACATTGTTTCGGGGGGTTGTAGTATCTGTGTACATTGTTTCGGGGGGTTGTATCTGTGTACATTGTTTCAGGAGATTGTAGTATCTGTGTACATTGTTTCAGGGGGTTGTAGTATCTGTGTACATTGTTTCGGGGGGTTGTAGTATCTGTGTACATTGTTTCGGGGGGTTGTAGTATCTGTGTAAATTGTTTCAGGGGGTTGTAGTATCTGTGTACAATGTTTCAGTAGATTGTAGTATCTTTTCACATTGTTTCAGAGATTGTAGTATCTGTGTACATTGTTTCAGGAGATTGTAGTATCTGTGTACATTGTTTCAGGAGATTGTAGTAACTGTACATTGTTTCGGGGGGTTGTAGTATCTGTGTACAATGTTTCAGTAGATTGTAGTATCTGTGTACATTGTTTCGGGGGGTTGTAGTATCTGTGTACATTGTTTCAGGGGGTTGTAGTATCTGTGTACAATGTTTCAGTAGATTGTAGTATCTGTGTACATTGTTTCAGGGGGTTGTAGTATCTGTGTACAATGTTTCAGTAGATTGTAGTATCTGTGTACATTGTTTCGGGGGGTTGTATCTGTGTACATTGTTTCAGGAGATTGTAGTATCTGTGTACATTGTTTCAGGAGATTGTAGTATCTGTGTACATTGTTTCGGGGGGTTGTATCTGTGTACATTGTTTCAGGAGATTGTAGTATCTGTGTACATTGTTTCAGGGGGTTGTATCTGTGTACATTGTTTCAGGAGATTGTAGTATCTGTGTACATTGTTTCAGGAGATTGTAGTATCTGTGTACATTGTTTCAGGGGGTTGTATCTGTGTACATTGTTTCAGGAGATTGTAGTATCTTTGTACATTGTTTCAGGAGATTGTAGTATCTGTACATTGTTTCAGGAGATTGTAGTATCTGTACATTGTTTCAGGAGATTGTAGTATATGTGTACATTGTTTCAGGAGATTGTAGTATCTGTGTACATTGTTTCAGGAGATTGTAGTATCTGTGTACATTGTTTCAGGAGATTGTAGTATCTGTACATTGTTTCAGGAGATTGTAGTATCTGTGTACATTGTTTCAGGGGGATGTATGGATCTGCATGGAAGTGATGGAGACATCACTGGACAAATTCTACAAGAAAATATATTCCAATGGGGACAAAATACCAGAAGAAGTCTTAGGCAAGATAGCCTACTCAGTAAGTATAATGATACTCATATATTGTTTGAGACATGTTGCTCTTATATATGCTCAGTGTCTTCTTTTCCTCTCATTTGGTAGAGACCGATTTTCATAATACTTACTTAAAACAAAGTTTCCAAAATAAAGTATAGATTAGTATCATCTGAGATACAGCATGCATCAGATTGACATGTACAGCATGCATTGAGGAAAGGGAAATGACTTGGAAGTTACTGAACAAATCTATGGCTTGTGGCTTGTGAGAGTGTAATTGTTGTGTGTGTCCCCTGCCAGGTGGTGCAGGCCCTCCACTACCTGCACACAGAACTCAAAGTGATTCATCGAGATGTCAAGCCATCCAACATCCTCATCAACATCAAGGGAATGGTGAAAATATGTGACTTTGGCATCAGTGGCTACTTGGTAGATTCTATAGCACGGACAAAGGATGCTGGATGTCGACCTTATATGGGTGTAAGCATGCACTTGATTGCACTTGTCATTATATACACCTCGCTTCAATTCCTATTATGGATAAAAGTGTGAGGCCCGTGTTCCCAACCATGTCTCCAGGGATACAGGTACAAGAGCCTGAGACCATACTCATTCCAAGGGCGTAGAAATACATTATGCTTGTGTCCTGATGTCAGTCAGCTCAGTGGTACTGTAATTAACCTGTGATAGTGATATCTTTAAGTGGCATTAAGCTGCAGTATCAATAAAGAAGGAGTTAGCTTGTGGATTTCAAACTTCCCGAGGCTAGGGAGTTAACTTGCTGTTCACCTTTCCTAACTTTCTTGGTTCGACCATAGCGCCACGAGCTGCGATTACAGGTTTTGTCCCTTCTATGTCCCTCCTATTGATCAGTCAGATTCCACCTCTCATATCACTTGCATTTGATTCAAACAAGATTGCGACGACCAGTAAAGACAATCTGATTGATAATCAAAATCTATATAGTAATAAAGTTAACTCTGTCTTCATATGATAGTGAGTAAAACGGTGTGTGAGTGTCTCAATTCTTTACTGTACTTTTTCAGCCGGAGAGGATAAACCCCGAACCCACGAATCCTGACTATGGTATCAGGTCGGATGTTTGGAGTCTTGGAATTACAATGGTGAGTTGGCCCCTGTTAATAAGAGACAATAAGCAGGTTCATGATGGGAACAATGAAACGGATACCTACTGTAGCGAAAAGTAGAATCGGTTCTAAAGACAGGTCGAGTGACACATTGGTGACATCTATTTGCATTTTGTATGAAAAAGAGGGAAACAATTTCGGCTGTGGGCTGTGACTCTCTAACTCTCCCAGTTGCAGACATTGAGCCCAGCAGCTCAGGCGTGTAATTGGTGACTAAACTGAGGATCTGGTTGTCACCTTGTGGAGGGATATAGCTGGGATATTACTGACTGCAGTGTTTAACTCTTCCAGATTGAGATTGCAACCGGCGTGTTCCCCTATAGCAAGTGGAAGACTCCGTTTGAGCAGATCAAGCAGGTGGTGATGGAGGATCCCCCCAAACTCCCCCCAGGACAGTTCACCCCTGAGTTCGAGGACATTATAGTCAAGTGGTAAGTAAACACTTTCCAACACCCCTGTGGATGCATGAAGGTTAGGTGCTACAAACCTATCAAAAAGTTCAACTTCGATATGACCTAATAATTGAATTACACAATATGGGGAATGTCAAGATTCCAAGAGCTCAAATAATTTGGTTCCTGCTCCATCCTGACACACAAATTTAGAATGCCACAGACGTTTAAGACTCTGCCAAATGACTTAGTTTCAAAATAACCAGGAAGTGTTGTTCACCTTTGTTATGATGTTAGTACTGCGGTACCATAACAATATTTTGTACAATGATAAAATGATTTGTCAAAAGAAAAATTAAGCATTGCATGTAATTTTGAATGTTCTTTGGCATAACTTGTAAAATCTAGCTAAAAGAAAGTTGTTTGAATATACAATGCTTCCCCAGTATGATGGGTAGTTATGTCCTATATTGTCATTCGTGCAAATTATGATTACTAATTTGAAGGAATTACTAATTTTGAGACCCTAATTATCAATGATAATCCTCTGTGTGTGTCAAAATGGGTTGGCATCTCTGCATACATACTCTGTAATAACATCACATTTGTAATCAGTTATTACCAGGGCAAGGCTGGGCCTGTTTTTTTAAACCTCAATCCACACGGTTGTGCCCCTGAGCCGTACCAGTATCCTCTGGTTTGACACCAAGATTCACACTGATTACGATACTTAGTCAGCATTGTACTCAAACTTGTGGACTTAACCAATCTCTATCACTTCAGCGTCCACCCCGCCTTAACTTGGCCACCATTATGTAACTGAACTATTTCCTAAGCCAGCTTTACATGTGTATTTCAGTGTATAATGTGATTTTGATGGGTTTCTTTCCTTCCAGCCTGAAGAAGGACTACAGGGAGCGGCCGAACTATACGATGCTTCTGGATCACCCATTCTGCGTCCGTGCCGCAACGAAGGAAGTGGATATGGCTGCCTATGTTGGCTCAGTTATAGAACGCTTCGGGGATTTAAATGAAAGTGTAAGATAAACTGTAGCTTACCGTATCGACATCCGGAGCCATTCCATGCCAGCTGTGGTGGTAAACAGACCACATATCTATTTATTTGTAAGATACTCTCCTCCCTTCGACAAGGTCGGTGATGGCATCAAGTCCTGTCACTGCGGTCACATTGGTTGGAGTTAAGGACGTATATTGAAGTCGGGGAGAAGAAGAGAATCAGGATCAACCTTAATAGTTTCAATATCAGCAATTAATTAGTTTCCCATATGCAAAATTTGTACATTTCAATTAGGCCAGTATTGGAGGGAGCTGGTGAGGTACACGATGACCGTTTCAAGGTGGAACTATTACGGATGTAATGATGTTCTCATTCATGCCAGAGCGATAGCTGAGTAGCATGCTGGGTGTGAAACCATCTCCACTTGGATAATCACATAATTATTTAATTGAAAGGTTATGTATCTTAACAAGGAGACAGAATTGGACCCTATACACAATATGGCGGTATTAGTGCAGTGACAGTCCCCCGCAGACCTTCATTAGTCTGTACAGACACATTAAACATTTCTCTCTTAATAATAGGGCTGAGATTAATGTTCGTGATCATAGGGCATACTGAGTAAGTTTGATTTCTACAATCATGGTTACGTTTCACAGTAAGTGTGCAGGCAGATAGGGCCATTGGAGATATTATTCAAAATGAGATGTTTTAATGTAGTGTGGTGTATTCTCTGTACTATACTTCTATGGTACATACTTCAAGTCTAGTTCAAGTTTAGATGTGTTTCATTACAACTGAAGTCACACTCACTTGTTTCATCACCAACCCGAAATTGTGATAATGTTGGACACACAATAAAGAGAGATATGATTTGGGAGCTATTCTTGAAATTATTTCATGAGTGATTTAACACAGCAATAAACAGGGGAGATACTTTCAATGGTATGAAAAATGTTCGAAAACCCCCAACTATTTCTACTAATTGGGAGGCTGGGGAAAATTCAGTTGATGAAGACAAGGGTTATAAGATGTGATATACTGTCAAAGCCAGTTGATCATCAGTTGCAAGGGACGGGCAAACCAAGTTAAGAAGCCCACCTGTTAACTTCAGAATAATATCACATCTGTGATGGGGAACTTGTCTGATGATCATTCATGACCCCATGGAATTGAGAACCTGCTTCAGACTTAAAGATAGCTTTGTACTTAAACAACCCTTTTCATTTTGGGTTTACAGAATTGATTGACCTGAGCCAAAGGCAACAATTAGAAAACATTTTGAATTATAAAACAAAATAGATGTTTTTAGCTACTTCTGCATCTTTGAAAAGATGAAATCCTACAATTATAAGCTTTCAAGTGTTTATGTAGTAGTTAATCGGATACTTTGTAGAAAGTCTCTGGACTAATACTGGAAGTAGTATCAACCAAAGTTGCTAGCACTTTGTCATCCTTCCTCCAGACTGGGAGAATCCAACTTGCCTGTTTTCTTAAGTTGGTTTGCCTGTGCCATTGAAAGGAAACCTAAGTGAATCGTGTTTCATGAATTTATGTTTCCAGTAAGATACAGTATCCTGCATTACTGTGTATGATGTTGAAAGTGTCTTTCATGTTGGTATGGATAATTGATTGTTGGAGAGTTACCTTATACACTGTTGTTGGTAGAGTCTTCAACTCTATAACACTGTTTACCTCCTCAACTTAGGAAGGAGTTAATGTTTGTATTATTTGGTTTACAGATATGCCCCCGACCCCAACAAAAATCAGAATTGTGGATTAAAATTGGAATTTTAGGAACAGTACAAATTTCCTATTGTCACATTAATTTTGATAACTGAAAGTAGTTTAATATAGGAATGAGTCAAACTCTTTGATTGTCATTCAAACATCCCATCACAGATATTGTATAGCAATTTTTGGTCTTAGTTTCTTCACCCTAATGACCTTACTTTTAAGATATCACTTTAAATAATAGAAAATGCCTAAGATAATGAAAACACTTTCACAAAGTTTTTATTATGTATACCCTTAAAAATCAAACTTTAGCAAAATATTTTGCAGAAGATACCAAAATTAAAGCTCTACTTAAAAGATGAAATGTACAATTATGTTAGCAATTGAATTCTAAGGTATCTTTTTCATGCCATATAGTTAGGTGATATTTTGAGTGTAAGTACTGACAGAGTGTTTATGCCAGAATTGTGTATTTTCTTGGTTTACATGGACATGATGTATATCAATGGACGATACCTGTGATTACTTTTTCAGGAAAAGAGGCTGATGAAATGAATTCCTCTAAATTTTGAACTTTTTAAATATATGTTTTAAAGCTGATTCTGTTCCTTCTACAAGGAAATAGAGGCATGGCATCACATACTTCTCCTGACATGTATCTTAGTAGATGATTTCTTTTGCTCATGATAGAAGGGGCACAGGTTGTACAAAGTTGACATTTTCAGATGAGGTACTGTGTTTCATGGATCAGAGAATATGTACATCAGTAACAGCCCTATTCCTTTCATTGTCCATGTCTAAAATTGATTATTTCTCAGCTGATTGGTTGGCATGAAATGTACATGGCACTGGCTTCCTTCATATGGTGGTGGAATATATAACTATATGTAACAAACACTTACAGATTCATGTCTTACCCCGATAGTCGACATTGTAAAGCAGTTGGGGTGGTTGTTGGCACTGGTGCCTCTGCATCTGGAAGTTCTATACCATAACTGGTCTCCAGTCAAATTTAGTCGCAAGGCAGAATCTCTAACTTATGTGTCGTCTCTTAGCAGACAGTATTACCATGGACCAAGGCTTTGATATTTATATCTGGAATCGGCAGGACCGATTTGCTTTACAATACTTCCTTCGGTCATGTATTTGTACACGAGACGTGGTGTGGTCACATCACGTCTTATGGGTAATGTAATCTTCGTATGAATGAGGACAGGGTTGACTCATGGATGTCAACTTCTTTATTTTTGTCAGTGCGACATTTCAGTACTTTCCTTGAACCTTTATCAAGCATTTGTCAACCCGGTCTTCATTGTGACAACTTTGAGAGTATTGAATGGAGTTGCCTTGTTGTAATAGGTTCCCTCATCACGCACAGGATCTGGTGTCCATTAGACATCATGGGTACAGTCTGTGTAGCCCATTCTTGGAGACGCTAGTAAGAATATAAGGCTTCAGAGCAATTATATAAACCAATCTCCCTGGTGATAAAGGTGGGATTATTTTTCCTATAGCCTGCATATCATTGTTCGAGCAAGTGCTAAGAAAAGCAACCATTTCATCCTTTCCACTCCGTTATATTATTGCAAATGCTCAGTTGAGTTGACTCAGAAAGGGAGGGATGTCCAACAATCGGGGTGTCCCAATCTCCCATGTTAGAGGCAGGGGATGAGACCTGGTGCTAACAACCACCTCCGACGGAATGTGGATCAGTGGTCCGAGCAAACACTCTGAGGATGTTACTGTGTATGAGTTGTCTCCCTTCAAAATGTGCCAAAGATGTGTAGATTACACTGAAACACTGACTGCGATTTTGAAAATATGTACATATTATTGAAGTGAGGACAGATGGATTGTAGCAGTGTACACTGGTCCTTGTATGCTGTTGGTTGTACATAGAGTGTGTGTAGACTCAGAAATGTTAGCTGCTGCCAAAAGTTGTGGTATATATTCAGACTGAGAGTGATGGAGTATGCATGGATGTGAGAAAGGGACGGTCACACATTAACTGTTATCTATGCCATAATTTATGAAAACAGAACAAGTGTAAATAAATATACCTCAAAAGATTTTAACTTGTTTTTAGTGCTCCATAGCAAAGATTTTATTGTATCTATACCAAGGTTATTGATCAGTGAACATCCTATGATCTACAGAAGCTAACATTGTGTCAAGATTATGAAATTATTTCTGTTGTCATGGGCTGTGGTCCATCGGTGCAGAGTGCAGCTGAAGGACATGTTAGTATTCAGGCAATAGCATTCACTTAAGAGCAAAAATGTTACTTTGTTTTAAACTTTTATCTGTACAGTCTCAATTGAGGATTCATTGTCAGGAATATGTACAGAAATTTCTGAAAATAAAAATACTATATATCTGCAATAATGACTCATTGCTTATTAGTTGATGCATGAAGAGGATTATGTATCAATTGTGACTTGGGTAGTGTGCACTACCTCTTTATCAATTGTGACTTGGGTAGTGTGCACTACCTCTTTATCAGTTGTGACTTGGGTAGTGTGCACTACCTCTTAATGAATTGTGACTTAGGTAGTGTGTTTGATATATTTAAACAATATTAAAATTATTTTGTTGAAAAACAATTAACTTAACTGTTCTCGCCAGTCATCTCATATTTCCATTTTTTTGCTTGTTAGCTACCTTCAGACATTGTTCTTTCCATGTGATCCAAGGCAATATCATTTTTTACCAGTTCTCTTTGCTTCTTGTATCATGTTTGATCTGTTCTCTGTTATTCAAATAATACATGTATCTTACAGGGATGAGACAAAAAAAAGCCACATGTTAGGGTAAACCTAAAGATCACTATAGTTAAAGTCTATTTTTCTTAAGGAATCTTGAAATCTTGAATGATTATCTTGTGTTTCAACTAGAATTGTTTGGAAGTACTTTCCAAAACAGAAGCAGCCCCGTCACCACCATGTACAGATTATTTCCCAGGTCTCAGGATTATACAAGTGAACATGCAACAGTAATTACCAAAACATACAACCATGTTAAACAATAGCCTTGACCTTTGATGGACACAGCACCAAAATGACTTTTATCCCCCAGGTATGTAATTCAGGGGGATATGGTTATCGTCTTGTCTGTCCATTAATAATAATTTTTGTCTGGATCATTTCTCCAAAACTAGTAGGTATTCTTTCATGAAACTTTGCACACACAAACACCAGGTTGTCAACAGGTGCCTTTTGCTATTAAGGGATTTTTTTCTATCAGTACTATTTTTTGCTGTTTTCACGACAACAAGTTTGACTTTGACACTGGGCAGATCAAAATTCACCATTGAAGGAAACCAAAGTAACAGAAGGGAAATGTTTAGTGTAAACATTTATATCTATATCTATTAAGCTGTGATATAACATTTGATAAGTTTAATGTGAAATGTGAGCTTCAGTAACAAGTGATAACTACAGTTGGTAATGCAACAGATTACAGCATAAGCCACGGACCAATTGTGTGACATCCATAATGACTAATATCTTTTAAAAAAAGGACCTGACATATACCTCACTGTAAAAGAAAGGCATGTCAAGTTTATTGTTTGTGAAAAGCTCAAAATAGTAATTTGTGAAAAGAAATGTATACAAACGTAAGGAGACGCATTGAAGAAACACTGTTCACTGTTTACATCATACCTTTTGAGCACATCGTAGGAACGCAGTCGTTTAGTCTCGTTTGACATTTTTTGCAAATGGATCGCAAATCACATGCCAAAATGTGTGCATTTTCCCCATTGTCCACCAAAGCTTTTCACGCTCAACTTTGAAAAAGTTCAGGAAACAAGGCTGGATTAACTGAACTTCAGAGAGGCGTTGCCATTGAAATGCTACAGGCCAATGTCATTTGTCTACCATCACCAGGACCCACTTGCACAAAGCGATCTTAGCGCTAAGATGATCATAACTCCCATACTTTAACATAGGCTTACAATAGTCATAGCGCTAAGATCGCTTTGTGCAAGTGGGCCCAGATTGGTCCCAAGGCATCAACAGACAGCGACATCAAAAGTGGCAACAAGTTGTCTTGTCAGACAAATTAAGGTACAAGTTTTCTCAAGCCGATGGGGGCATGAGAGTGTGGAGACGATGTAATGGTTGTTATGCCAACTGCTGTTCTTACGGGATGACCGGTGGGGAGGAGGAAGCATCAGTGTGGAGAGAACATAATGGCCGTTACGCTAACTGCTGTGTCTTACGGGATGACAGATGGGCAGGAGGAAGCATCACAGTGTAGAGACAACATAATGGCCGTTACCCTAACTGCTGTGTCTTACGGAATGACTGGTGGGGAGGAGGAAGCATCACGGTGTAGAGACGACGTAATGGTCGTTACGCTAACTGCTGTGTCTTACGGAATGACTGGTGGGGAGGAGGAAGCATCACAGTGTAGAGACGACGTAATGGTCGTTACACTAACTGCTGTGTCTTGCGGGATGACCGGTAGGGAGGAGGAAGCAGCATCACAGTGTAGAGATGACGTAATGGCCGTTACGCTAACTGCTGTGTCTTGCGGGATGACCGGTGGGGAGGAGGAAGCATCACAGTGTAGAGACGACGTAATGGTCGTTACACTAACTGCTGTGTCTTACGGGATGACAGATGGGCAGGAGGAAGCATCACGGTGTAGAGACGACGTAATGGTCGTTACGCTAACTGCTGTGTCTTACGGGATGACCGGTAGGGAGGAGGAAGCAGCATCACAGTGTAGAGATGACGTAATGGTCGTTACGCTAACTGCTGTGTCTTGCGGGATGACCGGTGGGGAGGAGGAAGCATCACAGTGTAGAGACGACGTAATGGTCGTTACACTAACTGCTGTGTCTTACGGGATGATCGATGGGGAGAAGGAAGCATCACAGTGTAGAGACGACGTAATGGTCGTTACACTAACTGCTGTGTCTTGCGGGATGACCGGTGGGGAGGAGGAAGCATCACAGTGTAGAGACGACGTAATGGTCGTTACGCTTACTGCTGTGTCTTGCGGGATGACCGGTGGGGGGGAGGAAGCATCACAGTGTAGAGACGACGTAATGGTCGTTACACTAACTGCTGTGTCTTACGGGATGACAGATGGGCAGGAGGAAGCATCACGGTGTAGAGACGACGTAATGGTCGTTACACTAACTGCTGTGTCTTACGGGATGACAGACGGGCAGGAGGAAGCATCACAGTGTAGAGACAACATAATGGCCGTTACCCTAACTGCTGTGTTTTGCGGGATGACTGGTGGGGAGGAGGAAGCATCACAGTGTAGAGACGACGTAATGGCCGTTACCCTAACTGCTGTGTCTTGCGGGATGACCGGTGGGGAGGAGGAAGCATCACAGTGTAGAGACGACGTAATGGTCGTTACGCTTACTGCTGTGTCTTGCGGGATGACCGGTGGGGGGGAGGAAGCATCACAGTGTAGAGACGACGTAATGGTCGTTACACTAACTGCTGTGTCTTACGGGATGACAGATGGGCAGGAGGAAGCATCACGGTGTAGAGACGACGTAATGGTCGTTACACTAACTGCTGTGTCTTACGGGATGACAGATGGGCAGGAGGAAGCATCACAGTGAAGAGACAACATAATGGCCGTTACCCTAACTGCTGTGTTTTGCGGGATGACAGGTGGGGAGGAGGAAGCATCACAGTGTGGAGACGACGTAATGGTCGTTACGCTTACTGCTGTGTCTTGCGGGATGACCGGTGGGGGGGAGGAAGCATCACAGTGTGGAGACGACGTAATGGTCGTTACGCTTACTGCTGTGTCTTGCGGGATGACCGGTGGGGGGGAGGAAGCATCACAGTGTGGAGACGACGTAATGGTCGTTACGCTAACTGCTGTGTCTTGCGGGATGACCGGTGGGGAGGAGGAAGCATCACAGTGTTGAGACGACGTAATGGCCGTTACCCTAACTGCTGTGTCTTGCGGGATGACCGGTGGGGAGGAGGAAGCATCACAGTGTAGAGACGACGTAATGGTCGTTACGCTTACTGCTGTGTCTTGCGGGATGACCGGTGGGGGGGAGGAAGCATCACAGTGTGGAGACGACGTAATGGCCGTTACCCTAACTGCTGTGTCTTGCGGGATGACCGGTGGGGAGGAGGAAGCATCACAGTGTGGAGACGACGTAATGGTCGTTACGCTAACTGCTGTGTCTTACGGGATGACATATGGGCAGGAGGAAGCATCACAGTGTAGAGACGACGTAATGGTCGTTACGCTAACTGCTGTGTCTTGCGGGATGATCGATGGGGAGGAGGAAGCATCACAGTGTAGAGATGACGTAATGGTCGTTACGCTAACTGCTGTGTCTTACGGGATGATCGATGGGGAGAAGGAAGCATCACGGTGAGGAGACGACGTAATGGTCGTTACGCTAACTGCTGTGTCTTACGGGATGACCAATGGGGAGGAGGAAGCATCACAGTGTAGAGACGACGTAATGGTCGTTACGCTAACTGCTGTGTCTTACGGGATGACATATGGGCAGGAGGAAGCATCACAGTGTAGAGACGACGTAATGGTCGTTACGCTAACTGCTGTGTCTTGCGGGATGATCGATGGGGAGGAGGAAGCATCACAGTGTAGAGACGACGTAATGGTCGTTACGCTAACTGCTGTGTCTTACGGGATGATCGATGGGGAGAAGGAAGCATCACGGTGAGGAGACGACGTTATGGTCGTTACGCTAACTGCTGTGTCTTAAGGGATGACAGATGGGCAGGAGGAAGCATCACAGTGTAGAGACAACATAATGGCCGTTACCCTAACTGCTGTGTCTTGCGGGATGACTGGTGGGGAGGAGGAAGCATCACAGTGTAGAGACGACGTAATGGTCGTTACACTAACTGCTGGGTCTTGCGGGATGACCGATGGGGAGGAGGAAGCATCACAGTGTGGAGACGACGTAATGGTCGTTATGCTTACTGCTGTGTCTTGCGGGATGACAGATGGGCAGGAGGAAGCATCACAGTGTAGAGAGAACATAATGGCCATTACGCTAACTGCTGTGTCTTATGGGATGACCGATGGGCAGGAGGAAGCATCACGGTGTGGAGACGATGTAATGGCCGTTAAGCTAACTGCTGTGTCTCACAGGCTAAACAGTGTGAAGAGAACGTAATGGCCATTACGCTAACTGCTGTGTCTTATGGGATGACCGATGGGCAGGAGGAAGCATCACGGTGTGGAGACGATGTAATGGCCGTTACGCTAACTGCTGTGTCTTACGGGATGACCGATGGGCAGGAGGAAGCATCACGGTGTGGAGACGACATAATGGCCGTTAAGCTAACTGCTGTGTCTCACAGGCTAAACAGTGTGAAGAGAACGTAATGGCCATTATGCTAACTGCTGTGTCTTAT